GGAGGGTGTGAGAGACGGTGGGGAGGGAGGGTAGAGACGGTGGAGGAGGAGGGGTGGGGAGACGGTGGGGGGAGGAGGTGTGTAGAGACAGTGGGAGGAGGAGGAGGTAGAGACGGTGGGGAGGAGGAGGGTGGGGAGACGGTGGGAGGAGGAGGGAGGTAGAGACGGTAGGAGGAGGAGGAGGGTGTAGAGACAGTGGGAGGAGGAGGAGGAGGTAGAGACGGTGGGAGGAGGGAGGAGGAGGGTGGGAGCAGGAGGAGGAGGAGGTAGAGACGGTGGGAGGAGGGAGGTGTAGAGACGGTGGGAGGAGGAGGTAGAGACGGTGGGAGGAGGAGGGAGGAGGGGCGTGGGAGGAGGAGGTGGGGCAGTGGGAGGAGGAGGGGGTGGGGAGAGACGGTGGGAGGAGGAGGTAGAGACGGTGGGAGGAGGAGGGTGTAGAGACGGTAGGAGGAGGAGGAGGAGGAGGTAGAGACGGTAGGAGGAGGAGGTGTGGAGACGGTAGGAGGAGGAGGAGGAGGAGTAGAGACGGTGGGAGGAGGAGGAGGGTGTAGAGACGGTGGGAGGAGGAGGTGTAGAGAGACAGTGGGAGGAGGAGGTGAGAGACGGTAGGAGGAGGAGGAGGTAGAGACGGTAGGAGGAGGAGGAGGGAGGTGAGAGACGGTGGGGAGGAGGAGATGGGAGGAGGGGGTGGGGACGGTGGGGAGGGTGAGAGACAGGGTGGGAGGAGGAGGGTGGGACGGTAGGAGGAGGAGGAGGGGGACAGTGGGAGGAGGTGAAACGGTGGGAGGAGGAGGTGGGAGGAGGTGGGGGGTAGAGACGGTGGGAGGAGGAGGGGTAGAGACGGTGGGAGGAGGTGTAGAGACGGTGGGGAGGGTAGAGACGGTGGGAGGAGGTAGAGACGGTGAGGGGGAGGAGGTGAGACGGTGGGAGGAGGAGGGTGGGGAGACGGTGGGAGGGTGAGACGGTGGGAGGAGGAGGAGGGTAGAGACGGTAGGAGGAGGAGGTGAAGACGGTGGGAGGAGAGGAGGGGTAGAAGACGGTAGGAGGAGGAGGAGGTGGGTAGAGACGGTGGGAGGAGGAGAGTTAAGACGGTGGGAGGAGGGTGAGACAGTGGGAGGAGGAGGAGGAGGGGGTAGAGACGGTAGGGAGGAGGAGGGGGTAGAGACAGTGGGAGGAGGAGGGTGGGGAGACGGTGGGAGGGGGAGGGGAGCGGTGGGAGGAGGGTGGGGAGACGGTGGGGAGGAGGGTGGGAGCGGTGGGGAGGGTGAGACGGTAGGGAGGGAGGAGGTGTAGAGTGGTGGGAGGAGGAGGAGGTGAGAGACGGTAGGAGGAGAGAGACTGTAGGAGGAGGAGGGTGAGACGGTGGGAGGAGGGTAGAGACGGTAGGAGGAGGAGGAGGGTAGGGGGAGGAGGAGGGTAGAGACGGTGAGGGAGGAGGAGGGCAGTGGGAGGAGGAGGGTGTAGAGACGGTGGGAGGAGGAGGGGTAGAAGTTGGAGGAGGAGGAGGAGGTAGAGACGGTAGGGGAGGAGGAGGGTGGGGAGACGGTAGGAGGAGGAGGAGGTAGAGACGGTAGGGGAGGAGGAGGTGGGTAGAGACGGTGGGAGGAGGGAGGAGGCGGGGTGGGGGTGGGAGGAGGAGGGAGTGAGAGACGGTAGGAGGAGGAGGGTGAGAGACGGTGGGAGGAGGAGGAGGAGGGTGTGGCGGTAGGAAGGGAGGGAGTAGAGACGGTGGGAGGAGGAGGAGGGTGTAGAGACAGTGGGAGGAGGAGGGCAGTGGTAGGGAGGAGGGGGTGGGAGACGGTGGGAGGAGGAGGAGAGACGGTGAGGAGGAGGGAGGAGGGTGGGGAGACGGTAGGAGGAGGAGGGGTGAGAGACGGTAGGAGGAGGAGGAGGGGTAGAGACGGGTGAGGAGGAGGAGGAGGTAGAGACGGTGGGAGGAGGGTAGAGACGGTGGGAGGAGGAGGAGGGTGAGAGACGGTGGGAAGGAGGGAGTAGAGACAGTGGGAGGAGGGAGGAGGAGGGTCAGAGAAGGTTGGAGGTGAGACGGTGAGTAGGAGGAGGGTGCAAGACGGTGGGAGGGAGGAGGGGCGTGGGAGGAGGTGTAGAGACGGTGGGGAGGAGGAGGGTAGAGACAGTAGGAGGAGGGTGTAGAGACGGTGGGAGGAGGGTAGAGACGGTGGGAGGAGGGGGTAGAGACGGTGGGAGGAGGAGGGGGTGAGACGGTGGGAGGAGGGGTAGAGACGGTGAGGAGGAGGAGGAGGTGGGAACAGTGGGAGGAGGAGGAGTGGGAAGACGGCAGGAGGAGGAGGGTGTGGGGAGACGGTAGGAGGAGGAGGGTAGAGACGGTAGGAGGAGGAGGAGGTGTAGAGACGGTAGGAGGAGGAGGAGGGTAGAGACGGTAGGAGGAGGAGGAGGGTGTAGAGACAGTAGGAGGAGGAGGGAGGAGGGTGTAGAGACGGTAGGAGGAAGGTGTGAGGTATCGTGATAGAAGATAAAAACTTGAAATTCACCATACTGCTTCCTGCTGCCCTCCCTCCTCTCTCCCTCCCTCCCTCTCTCCCTCCCTACGCCACCACAACCACTACTACCACAACCTAACATCATATTAATATCGCTTGACACCATCACCACCATTCACAAGCTTCCACCTCCAACCTGTACCAACCATTACCACACACACCACACACCACCTCGTGTAGAAAAAATGACCTAGCACGCCTCCCCACGATGCGTGTAGTGCAACAAGACACATTGACCATTGTTGCAGAGGCGTGCAGAATGGTGGGTGAGGTCGAGCGCTCACCACCCCCACGCCCGTCACCACAACGTAACATATCGTCCGCTAATGTTTTCACACACCATTTGGGGGACCACCAATGGGGTGTGGTGAATGGCGGACCCTCCTTCACCTACCCGAAGCTCTACTCGATAAACTTAATGATAGTAACTGTGGGTGTTTCAGCTGTAAGACCCGGCGCTGGCAACGAGAGGATCTTTTAGGGCACGGTTATTGCAGCTAGGATGTGGTTATTGCGACAGAAATCTCATGGGTTTGGTTACTGCATTAAAGGTTATTGCACCTGGAGTATGGTTGTGATGACTTCTGTACATACTTACGTTATTGCAACTTAGATCAGGTTATTGAATAGAAGTTTAGGGTCTTGAGTACTTAAACATGACCACGAGACCAGTTATTTGCTACTGAGACCCTCATATTATAACCAGGACCTGGGTACGTGGCTTTTATCATCGGTTCTGGGTCATTGCAAGAACCGTGGTTAAAACTGCATGGAAACTCACTTATATGCAACTAAGACCTGGGTATTCATGGATTTTAGAGATTATTGCAATTTACCACCGAGGACTTGGTCATTGCAAGGGGCATGGTTAGGATTGCATGGAAACTCACTTATATGCAACTAAGACCCGAGTATTCAATGGGTTTTAAGAGGTCATTGCAGCTTTGGGGGGTCTTGGGACGTGATCATTGTAGCGTGGACCTCTCCTTCGGACCGAGTATAAGAGGCTTCAGCAGCTCTTAACACCGTCTTCTTCACGCCTGCTTCGTAATGGCTAATTTCTTCTCGTCTTCCCCCATTTATCGTTTAGTAGACGAGGCGAGGAGGCTCCACAATACACAGTAGAATTTTTTCTTGCGCATGTTAAGGATAATGCGTTAATGAAGCGTCTCAGTGGAGGAATGTTGCTGGGGGTGATGTTTTTTTTATGTTGCCGCTAGAGGGGGGGCTTGTTGTGTTGCCTCCGTCCGTCCTCCGTCGTGAGAAGTTTGTGTACGTAACCAATCCAGTAGTTTTTGATCGGATTCCTGTCACACTTGTTAGATCGTATAAGTTATATCATATTTACCGATTATCAAACTTTCTCTAAGGTGTTAAGGTCGCTAAGGTCACAGCTAAAGGTCAAAGTATCGGTACAGATATATAGCTTTTCAAAAGGTTTATGTCACAAACCTAACTTAACCTAACCTTGTCTAAACAAACTCTCGTATATCAACATAAATATTTTGATGACATTTCACACAAATATTTGTCATCACTGGACAAAAATGCACAACACTATATCTGTGTTTCAGGGTTTTGCTCTTTTGACAAATTAGGTGTTGCGCGGGGGCGTCCTTGTCAACACACACACACACAGAGTACAAGTTTTTCAGTGTTGTTCCGCCGCGGGTAGTGGAGTTGTCTGTTGGGGTGGGTGGGTGGGTAGGTTCTCATGGCTACCTACTCCTGGTCTGGTCTGGTTACTGGTCAAATGGTCTCACTCCTAATAGGCTCTGGTCTTATTGGGTCTCACTCCTAATAGGCCCTGGTCTTATGTCTTATTCCACTCGATATCACATCTCTATACTATGCCTCTTGATCACCTCTCGTCTCATACATCTCACTGTCTCCTCTTTCCCTTTCTGTCTGTTCTCCTGTCCATATCCCTCCCTCTTCTGTCCGTTTTTCTATTCACTTATTCTCACTCTTCTTGTTCCTATTTCCTCTCCTTTACCCCCTTTCCTCCCTACCTCTCCCCTTTTCACTCCCTATCTCTCCTCCCCTTTCTCTACCTCTCTTATACTTCTTCTCTTCCCAGGTATTCTCCCCATCTTTCTCCCCAGCCCGTCGATCAACTCCCCCCCCTCATAATCCCTCCTTGTGAGTCAAACACCATCTTCACTATAGCCACTACTCGACCTCTGTGTCACCCATACATTGAAGGTTCCCGGTGGTGGACATTTTGACTCAGTGATGTACTTTAGGTGGTGGTTATGATTATGCCCCGTAATAACCCCGTGTTTTTCCTTAGGACGCCCCGTAATAACCCCGTGTTTTTCCTTAGGACGTCCCGTAATAACCCCGTGTTTTTCCTTAGGACGCCTGTAATAACCCCGTGTTCTCTCCTAGAATGCCATAGGGTGTACCGGTGCCCCGTGTTCTTTCCCTCCTGATGCCCCGGAGTACTTGTGCCCTCAACCTTAAGTTCTCTTCCCCCAGGACGGAAGCCCCGCCCCGGAGAGTCATGGTGCCCCGTGTGTGGGGTGACACTTCGCCCCGGAGAGTTGGAGACTCACCTCACCCACGAACTGGACAAGCTGGTGCGCCTCCCCCAGTCCCGCCCACTCTCCCAGCGTACGCCCACGCCCACTACCTCCACGCCCACAACCAGCACCACGCCCACGCCCTCGTCGTCGTCAGCAGTCACCAGCGTGGCCGCCTCAGTCACCTCGCCTCTAAGCCCACACCCTGTACACGCCCGCGCCCGTGACCCTGGATGGGATGTGAGTACCACGCCCTTACTGTATTGTTCTCCCACGCCCACACTGTCAGTTGCTCTACACATACAGTAATAATATTCCTCCTCCTCCTCCTCCTCCTCCTCCCCTCTCCTCATCCTCCTCCCTCTCCTCATCCTCCTCCCCCACTTTATGTAACCCTCTTTCATTTTCCTCCCCATCACTCTCTTCCTCTTCTCGCCTCGTTCACCCTCCCTCACCCCACCACAGTCCTCCTACTCATATTCCTCTTCTCCCCTACCATGCTCTTACCTTCCTCCTCCTCACCCCATCAATTCCTGCTCACCCTCCTCACCCCATCAATTCCTCCTCATCCTCCTCACCCCATCAATCCTCCTCATCCTCCTCACCCCATCAACTCTCCCCCAATCTTCCTCTTCCCCTCTACCATGTTCCTTCCTTCTTACCCCATTAACCACTCGTCCTCATCTCCCCAACTCACCTCACCCCTCTCCCCACCCCCCTTCCCCCCAACCCACCCCTCCCCCCAACCCACCCTCCTACCTCGCCAGCTTATTACGCCACACGGGCCCCGTAAAGCTGCTCAAGACGGGTTGTAAAGACGCACAAATTGGTTCTTCTCCACTTGTCTGCATGTAAATGTTGGCCGGGCGGTGTGTGGTGCGTGCGACCTCACCACCGCCTACCTATACACACCACTACCACCCTGCCTGCCACACCACCTACCACCACACTGCCACCCACCACCATCACCACACTGCCACCATCACCACACTGCCACCCATCACCACTACTCTCCCACTCATTGCCGCTAGTCCAATCACCCGTGGCTAGTATCTTTTCATCTCTGATCCCATCATTTCCACCACTTCATCACCTTGTTCCCACCTCCTCCCTAGTACCCACATATCACCACCCCTCCTCCTGCTCTCTCCTCCCCTCTTGCTCTCTCCTCCCTCTTGCTCTCCTCCCCCCTGCTCTCTCCCCTCCTCCTGCTCTCTCCTCCCCTCCTGCTCTCTCCTCCCTCCTGCTCTCTCCTCCCCTCTTGCTCTCTCCTCCCTCCTGCTCTCTCCTCCCCCTCCTGCTCTCTCCTCCCCTCTTGCTCTCTCCTCCCCTCTCTCTCTCCCTCCCCCCCTGTTCTCTCCTCCCCCTTCCATCATTAACCCATCTTCACTACTATTCCCTATCATCACCCTTCACCCCGGTCCCTACCACACCTACACCCCTACCCACACCCACCACACCCACACCACCCACCACCCACACCCACCCTACCCCACCCACTACCCACCACCCCACCCACTACCCACACCCCACCCACCACCCACACCCCACCCACTACCCACACCACACCCACTACCCACACCCCACCCACTACCCACACCCCACCCACTACCCACACCCCACCCACTACCCACACCCCACCCACTACACACCCACACCCCACCCACCACCCACACCCCACCCACCACCCACACCCCACCCACTACCCACACCCCACCCACCACCCACACCCCACCCACCACCCACACCCCACCCACTACCCACACCCCACCCACCACCCACACCCCACCCACCACCACACCCCACCCACACCCACACCCCACCCACACCCACACCCCACCACCACCACACCCCACCCACCACCCACACCCACCCACTACCCACACCCCACCCACTACCCACACCCCACCCACTACCCACACCTACACCCACTACCACACCCCACCCACTACCCACACCCCACCCACTACCCACACCCCACCCACTACCCACACCCCACACCTACACTATACACCTCACGTTACCACTTGTGAGTTCTTGAGCGTTTCACCCTGTGGTTTAGTGGTCGAGGAGCTCCATGTTAAGTGCCGGTGTTTTTATCTACTTAATTATATGTTAGAGTTGTTATTGTAGTGACTTTAAATACACTTAATGGTTTTATGCCCCACCAACAGAATGAGAGGGGGGGGTGTATTGGTGTGATCTCTGTCTGTGTCTGTCTGTCTGTCTGTCTGTCTGTAGTGAAACTAGCGAATCATGGGAGGGAGGGAGTGTTTTTATTTTGTGATTCCAGCCTCTGATTCATAATAGGTGTTAATTAGTATACTGTATTAGTTAAGTTGTTTACCTGAGTAGATCATGTGAAGATTAGACACCCTATTTTATCTCACCTGGTGATTAAACACCCTAGAGTGGGTTAGGTTAGGGTACTAATGGTTTCTAGTCCTAATGGGCCCCAGTACTAAGGGTTCCTAGTAGTATTGGGCCCCAATATTAAGGGTTCCTAGTCCTAAGGGCCCAATATTAAGGGTTCCTAGTCCTAAGGACCCCAGTACTAAGGGTTCCTAGTCCTAATGGGCCCCAGTACTAAGGGTTCCTAGTAGTAATGGGCCCCAGTACTAAGGGTTCCTAGTCCTAATGGGCCCCAGTACTAAGGGTTCCTAGTCCTAATGGGCCCCAGTACTAAGGGTTCCTAGTCCTAATGGACCCCAGTACTATGGGTCCTAGTCCCAATGGGCCCCAGTACTAAGGGTTCCTAGTAGTAATGGGCCCCAGTACTAAGGGTTCCTAGTCCTAATGGGCCCCAGTACTAGGGGTTCCTAGTAGTAATGGGCCCCAGTACTAAGGGTTCCTAGTCCCACGGGCCCCAATATTAAGGGTTCCTAGTCCACGGGCCCCAGTACTAAGGGTTCCAGTAATGGGCCCCAGTACTAAGAGTTCCTAGTCCAATGGGCCCCAGTACTAAGGGTTCCTAGGAGTAATGGGCCCCAGTACTAAGGGTTCCTATTATAATGGGCCCCAGTACTAAGGGTTCCTAGAGTAATGGGCCCCAGTACTAAGGGTTCCTAGTAGTAATGGGCCCCAGAACTAATGGTTCCTAGGAGTAATGGGGCCCCAGTACTAAGGGTTCTAGGAGTAATGGGCCCCAGTACTAAGGGTTCCTAGGAGTAATGGGCCCCAGTACTAAGGGTTCTTAGTCCCAATGGGCCCCAGTACTAAGGGTTCTAGGAGTAAGGGCCCCAGAACTAAGGTTCTAAGTCCCAATGGGCCCAGTACTAAGGGTTCCTAGTAGTAATGGCCCCAGTACAAGGGGTTCCTAGGAGTAATAGGCCCCAGTACTAAGGGTTCCTAGGAGTAATGGGCCCCAGTACAAAGGGTTCTTCTAGATAATAGGCCCCAGTACCAAGGGGTTCCTAGTAGTACGGGCCCCAGTACAAGGGTTCCTAGGAGTACTGGCCCCAGAACTAATGGTTCTTAGTCCCACGTGCCCCAGTACTAAGGGTTCCTAGGAGTAATGGGCCCCTGTACTAGGGTTCCTAGGGAGGGGCCCCAGTACTAAGGGTTCTAGGAGTACTGGGCCCCAGTACTAAGGGTTCCTAGTAGTATGGCCCCAGTACTAAGGGTTCCTAGTAGTAAGGCCCCAGTACTAAGGGTTCCTAGTAGTAAGGCCCCAGTACTAAGGGGTTCCTAGTAATGGGCCCCTGTACTCAAGGGTTCCTAGTAGTAATGGGCCCCAGTACTAAGGGTTCCTAGTAGTAATGGGCCCCTGTACTAAGGGTTCCTAGTAGTAAGGGCCCCAGTACTATGGTTCCTAGTAGTAATAGGCCCCAGTACTAAGGGTCCTAGTAGTAATGGGCCCAGTACTAAGGGTTCCTAGAGGCACCAGTACTAAGGGTTCCTAGTAGTAATGGGCCCCAGTATAAGGTTCCTAGGAGCACTGGGCCCTGTACACAGGGTTCCTAGGAGTAATGGGCCCCAGTACTAAGGGTTCCTAGTAGTAATAGGCCCCAGTACTAAGGGTTCCTATAGTAATGGGCCCAGCACTAAGGGTTCCTAGGAGCACAGGCCCCAGTACTAAGGGTTCCTAGTAGTAATGGGCCCCAGTACTAAGGGTTCCTAGGAGTAATAGGCCCCAGTACTAAGGGTTCCTAGGAGTACTGGCCCCAGTACTAAGGGTTCCTAGTAGTAATGGGCCCCAGTACTAAGTCCTTATAGTAGCCCCAGTACTAAGGGTTCCTAGGAGTAATGGGCCCCAGTACTAAGGGTTCCTAGTAGTACAGGGCCCCAGTACTAAGGGTTCCTAGTAGAATGGGCCCCAGTACTAAGGGTTCCTAGAGCAATGGGCCCCAGTACTAAGGGTTCCTAGGAGTAATTGGGTCTCCAGTACTAAGGGTCCTAGTAGTAAGCCCTACTAAGGGTTCCTAGTAGTAATGGGCCCCAGTACTAAGGGTTCCTAGTAGTAATGGGCCCCAGTACAAGGGTTCCTAGGAGCAATGGGCCCCAGATACTAAGGTTCCTAGTAGTAAGGCCCCAGTACTAAGGGTTCCTAGTAGTAATAGGCCCCAGTACTAAGGGTTCCTAGTAGTAATGGGCCCCAGTACTAAGGTCTTAGGAGTACTGGCCCCAGTACTATGGCCCAGGAGCACTGGCCCCAGTACTAAGGGTTCCTAGTAGTAATGGGCCCCAGTACTAAGGGTTCCTAGTAGTAATGGGCCCCAGTACTAAGGTCTTTGGAGTACTGGGCCCCAGTACTAAGGGTCTTAGTAATAGCCCCAGTACTAAGGGTTCCTAGGAGCAATAGGCCCCAGTACTAAGGGTTCCTAGTAGTAAGGGCCCCAGTACTTAGGTTCCTAGGTAGTGGGCCCCAGTACTATGGGTTCCTAGAGTAATTGGCCCCAGTACTATGGTTCCTAGGAGCACTGGCCCCAGTACTAGGGTTCCTAGTAGTAATGGGCCCCAGTACTAATGGGTTCCTAGTAGTAATGGGCCCCAGTACTAAGGGTTCTAGGAGTAATGGGCCCCAGTACTAAGGGTTCCTAGGAGTAATGGGCCCCAGTACTAAGGGTCCTAGGGAGTACTGGCCCCAGTACTAAGGGTTCCTAGTAGTAAGGGCCCCAGTACTAAGGGTTCCTAGGAGCACAGGCCCCAGTACTAAGGGTTCTAGTCCAAGGGCCCCAGAACTAAGGTTCTAGTCCCATGGGCCCCAGTACTAAGGGTTCAGTAGTAATGGGCCCCAGTACTAAGGGGTTCCTAGAGTAATGGGCCCCAGTACTAAGGGTTCCTATAGTAGGCCCCAGATACTAAGGGTTCCTAGTAGTAATGGGCCCCAGTACTAAGGGCCTAGTAGTAATGGGCCCCAGTACTATGGGTTCCTAGGAGTAATGGGCCCCAGTACAAGGTTCCTAGGAGTAACTGGCCCCAGTACTAAGGGTTCCTAGTAGTAATGGGCCCCAGTACTAAGGGTTCCTAGTAGTAAGGGCCCCAGTACTAAGGGTTCCTAGAGCAATGGGCCCCAGTACTAAGGGTTCCTAGTAGTAATGGGCCCCAGTACTAAGGGTTCTAGTAGTAATGGGCCCCAGTACTAAGGGTTCCTAGTAGTAATGGGCCCCAGTACTAAGGGTTCCTAGAGTAAGGGCCCCAGTACAAAGGGTTCCTAGGAGTAATGGCCCCAGTACTATGGGTTCCTAGTAGTAATAGGCCCCAGTACTAAGGGTTCTAGATAGGGCAGTACAAAGGGTTCCTAGGAGCACTGGCCCCAGTACTAAGGGTTCCTAGGAGTAAGGGCCCAGTACTAAGGGTTCCTAGAGCACTGGCCCCAGTACTAAGGGTTTCTAGTAGTACAGGCCCCAGTACTAAGGGTTCCTAGGAGCACAGGCCCCAGTACTAAGGTCCTAATGGCCCCAGAACTAATGGTTCTTAGTCCCATGGGCCCCAGTACAGGGTCTAGTGCACTGGGCCCCAGTACAGGGTTCCTAGGGATAATGGGCCCCAGTACTAAGGTTCCTAGGAGTAATAGGCCCCAGTACTAAGGGTCTTAGTAATGGGCCCCAGTACTAGGTTCCTAGTAGTAAGGGCCCCAGTACTAAGGGTTCCTAGGAGTAAGGGCCCCAGTACAAAGGGTTCCTAGGAGTACGGGCCCCAGTACTAAGGGCCTAGTAGTACGCCCCAGTACTAAGGGTTCCTAGTAGTAATGGGCCCCAGTACTAAGGGTTCCTAGGAGTAATGGGCCCCAGTACTAAGGGTTCCTAGTGTAATGGGCCCCAGTACTAAGGGTTCCTATAGTAAGGGCCCCAGCACTATGGGTTCCTAGTAGTAATGGGCCCAGTACTAAGGGTCCTAGGAGCATGGGCCCCAGTACAGAGGGTTCCTAGGAGTACTGGGCCCCAGTACTAAGGGTTCCTAGTACAGGCCCCAGTACTAAGGGTTCCTAGGAGTAAGGGCCCCAGTACAAAGGGTTCCTAGGAGTAATGGGCCCAGTACTAAGGGTTCTAGTAGTAATGGGCCCCAGTACTAAGGGTTCTTAGTAGTAATGGGCCCCAGTACTAAGGGTTCCTAGAGTAATGGGCCCCAGTACTAAGGGTTCCTAGTAGTAATGGGCCCCAGTACTAAGGGTTCCTAGGAGTAATGGGCCCCAGTACTAAGGTTCTAGTAGTAATGGGCCCCAGTACTAAGGGTTCCTAGAGTAATGGGCCCCAGTACTATGGTTCCTAGTGTAATGGCCTCAAGGGTTCCTAGGAGTAATGGGCCCCAGTACTAAGGGTTCCTAGTAGTAATAGGCCCCAGAACTAATGGTTCTTAGTCCTAATGGGCCCTAGTGTCTGATTACATTTGGGGCCCAGTAGGAATAGAGTCTTAAGACTAGATGAGCGTCAGATCACGTGTGTGTGTGTGTGTGTGTGTGTGTGTGTGTGTGTGTGTGTGTGTGTGAGAGTGCAGAGTGTGTGTGTGTGTAGGCGTGTAGGCAATCTTATGACTCGTATGTATAGTGCACACAACAAAGAAGTGATGGGGGGGTAACATGGTATCACTGCTTCAGGTCCCATTGTTTCTGTACTTGTCAACTAGGTGCGAGGAAGTCGGATGGTCGGGAGAGGGAGTCGGGTGATGGGGAAGAAAGGATTGGTAGGTGTTGGGTGATCGCGATCGGTCGGGTGAGGTAGGAAGAGTCGGGCGGTATAGGTCGGTGGATGAAGGCGAGAAGACTTCAGTCATCGAGTGATCGGATAGCACCGGTAGTCGGCAATAGATCGGTCGGTGGTGGCTTGGGATAGATCGGGTGGTCGGTGGCGGCGTGGGATAGATCGGGTGGGTTATCGAGGCAATAGGTTGGTCGGGTGGTATCGGTCGGCAGCGTGGGATAGATCGGGTGGGTTATCGAGGCAATAGGTTGGTCGGGTGGTATCGGTCGGCAGCGTGGGATAGATCGGGTGGGTTATCGAGGCAATAGGTTGGTCGGGGAGGCGGGAGGCGTCGTTCCAAATTGAAATATGGCGTTAAAGGTGAGCCATTTTTGCGCTGGAAGATCATATCGTTAAGTTTTATTGTTTTATTGACAAGTCCTCACAGGCACAAGCGGCGCTCCTCTCTCACACACCTTTGTTAAACCCTCACACTCCTCTTCTTTCCCTCCCTCCCTCCTCTCTCCCTCTCCCTCCCTCCTTTTTTAAACCCTCACACTCTCCTCTCCCTCTCCTCACCTTTTAAACCCTTCTCTCCCTCCCCGTAATAGTTCCTAGTCTGCTACACCCCTGCCCCGTAAACCTATAGCAACATCATCCTGCCCCCGTATAGTTACCTCCTGCCCTGTAGAAGCATCATCCTGCCCTGTATAGTTACCCAGCCTGTCGCCCCCCCACTCCAGCCCCCGTAGTCGCCCCCCACTCCACCCAGCCCCGTAGTAGCCCCATATTCCCAGCCACCACAACACCCATGTGCCAACTCCTCCTCCTCCTCTTTTTCTTTGTGTTATTGAGAGGTGGAGGGAGGTGTTGCTTAAGTCTTAATGATGATGGTGACCCTCGAGGTGTGTGTGTCTGTCTGTCCGTTTATTCTATACATTTGAGTACCTTAGTCTTTCTGCAGAGGGCGTGGGTCTCGGCTGATCGTGTGTGTATGTATTGGATATGTATGGATGTTGGCATTACACACACACATAGCCGCCCCCCCCCCTACATCCTCTCCTACGCAACTATCTATCGCCCCAGTAGCTGTAAAGCCTTAAAAACATTGTGCCTCGTCCGATAAGAATACTTTTTCCAACACTTTTTTTTCAGTGTTCTGGCAATAATACTTGAACAGGTCCTGGTTGTTGGCCTCTGTACTAGGAGGTGACCACGTCCTCCTCCACTAGAGCTGTTATGATGCTCAGTGTGGCTAGGTCACGTCAGGTCAGCTTCAACGGGTTATTCAGCTGTTAGTCGTATTTGCAGTGTTCATGGGTTTCATTTTAACCTAACCATTAAAGGACTCGGGAGCCAATCCTAATGGTACGGACTGGGGCCCTATTCGAAGGGTCACCTTGGCAACACCCAGTACAATATGTTACTACAGTTACTAAGAGTTTGGCATGATAAACATTAGGTGGCGTTGGAGAGCGTAATTGCCTTGAAACCTGGTTAGTGGTAGGGAGGGTGATGGATAGAGAGGGTAGGGTGATGGATGGAGAGGGTAGGGTGTTGAGGAATAGTGTGATGTAGATTGTGTGGGGAGGGAGGAAGAGGGTAGGTGATGGAGATTGTGGTAGATGAATAAGAGCCGTGGATAGTGGGAGCAGTTGACGGATAGAGAGCGTGAGAGAGAGTTTTAGGACTGGGTAAGATTGAGATCAGTAGAGCAAAACCTTGAGAGAGATTTATCAGAATAAATCTTTTAAGGAGTATCTTTTTCACCACACAATCGAGAGCCCGCCTGCCGTGGTCCACCACCTCCTGCCTGGTGGTGGGCCGCCACTTGTAGGGCTGCTGGGAGGAATGTGGAGGAGGTATCACGGTCACTGCTCACCATCCCCACACTCACCTGCGGTTATCTCCCCCCTCCCCCAAACAGACGTATCAGCGGGTGCGAGCCAATCGTCAGGTGCGGCTGAGGGCCAAGAAGCGACGGTCAGGCCGCAGCGATGAGTGCGGACCCGCCTGCCCCGTCTGCGGTGAGAGGGTGTCTGCTGCCACTCCTGAAGACCTGCACGCCCACGTTGAGTCCTGCCTCCGTCGGGTAAGTCCTCTCTTGTTCCTCTTTATTATCATACATAATAACAGAGACACCTCTTCGCCCCTGGTTCCCAGGCCTCCTTAACCCTTCTCCATCCTCCTCCCATCCGGCCTCTTGAGGTTGGCGTCTTCGTCAACGTGATCTTACCCAACCGTCAGTTCTTCCGACAAGTTCAATCCTTCCATTTCTCGTTCCTTCCCTCTGCTTTTATAACCCTTCTGGACTGTATCCTCACCTACCAGTCACTTCCCATCCCACTTCTACACTCTGATGATTTCTATTTTAAAGATTCCCTTCCTCCCCCTGATGTCCTTGTTGTATTTGCCGCTAGAACAGGTAAGCGGCCTGACCACAGTGGTTAAGTCTAACCTCTGGATTTTTCTCTCTTCCACAGTCTGGAGGAGTACTGTCTGGTCTCCTGCAGGGGGGTGGTGAGGACGAGGTGGTGGACGTGGAGGGGGACGGCCCCTACGAGGAATATGAGTGGTGTGGACAGAGACGCGTCAGGGCATCTTCACTTCTCAGGCCTCAGCCGCCGCTTCTTGGTGAGTTTCTGTTTGCTGCTTCAGAAAACGGGGGACAAGAAGTTACGTAGATCAGTTGTTATCATTTATAAAGTATTGTACAGTAGTATGGGAACATAACAGTTGTTTAAATGGTTAAATATTGGTATGACGTATAATTTGTCTTTTTTTTTCTGTGGGGTAGTAGCGTTGCGTGGAGCGCCCGACTGTCACAAAATAAACCTCTTCTTCACGACTCCGGCAGATCGTCACAGAGAAGGTGGCAGCGAGCGTAGCGGAGACTCTGAGATGACCAGTGGAGGAGGAGTGATGGAGGGCAGCGATGGAGGAAGCAGAGTGGAGCCCATGAGTGTGGAGTTGGAGGCCCTCAAGGAGAAAGTGCGAGTGTTGGAGCGGGACGGCGCCGCCCCCTCCAAGTTCCTTTGCCTCGTGTGTCAGGTGAGTACTTGTGCTGTGTCAGTGGGACTGGGAAAATATTTTCCTCAGAAGGAAGTTGTTTTGGGGTTGCTACATTGTTCTTGTCATCAACCTTTTGAGTTTACCGTTTGTACAAAATAGTTATTTGGTTAAAAATATGACCTAATGTGGTAATGATAATGATGATAATACTGTAATAACAATAATAATGTTTCTCCCTGCCTTCCTCCAGACGGAGTACGACCGGCCAGCGGTGTCTGTGGTGTGCTGGCACGTGCTGTGTGAGGCCTGCTGGGCACACACTCTGGTACGTAGGTCAGCACATACCTTGATACGTGCTTTACTTATCGTCATCCCTTGTTAATAACGCTTCTTTAGGTTATATGTTGTGTTTATTGGTTAATGCTCATGAGTGTTCATATGTTAATACAGTAATGTTATATTTAGTGATAAGTGGATGGCTATGAAAATAAAGTTTGTAAGTAATGTTTTGTGTTGACAGGGTGTGAAGAGCGAGTGCCCACAGTGTTCCCAGTCTGTTTCCCCCGAGGACCTGCGCCCCATCCATTTGTGACCACCAACACCAGCCTAGCAGTTCACCGGCAGCCCCGCCACCTCCACCCGCACACCCACACCCATGCTGACATCTACTACACCTACACCAACCATGTCTTCACCCACACACACATCAATATTCACACCAGTAACCTCGAAACCAGTGTCCACATCTGAAGCCACACCCATGATAACATCTGTTACACCAACACCTGCAGCCATAACTATATCGTCACCTGTACACATGACCATACTCGCACCTGAAATTAAGCCCACACCCAGAGCCACAACCACGCCTACAACCTCATCCGGGGCCACAGCCACGATTACGTCTGGGGCAACAACCATGCCCATACCTGGGGCCACAACTCCACCCATACCTGAGATCACAACCATGCCCAAACTGGTGTCTACAATCACGCCAGCACCTGGGGTCACAAGCATGCCCGAAACCACGGTCATGCCCCAACTTGGGCCCAAAATTACACTCGAGGCCACAGCACCACTCGCACCCAGAGCCACAACTACACTCACAACCAGTCATGTTCCCATGGCATCACCCACACCTGTTCGTGTAGCGCCACCCATAACCACACCCGAAATTACACCTACATCCACTCTCCTGTCCATCCCTGCAGCTGTACCCATACACATACAAGTTCCCCCTACCATCCACATACCCACAACTACCCTCATGCCCATATCACCAAGAATGTCTGCCATAACACTAATGCCCACAAACACGCCAGGGACTCCCCCTATCCTCACAGCCAAACGTAGGTTGGTTTCCTCCCCAACAACTTCACCACCAACACCTCCACTCCACCTGTCCGCCACCAAACCTTCACCTGTGTTTATGTTCACGCCCACACCTTTACTAACACCCATCCTGGCACCTGCTTCACCTGTTACCCCGCAGGTCCCACCCACACCTCAGTTAACTCACACCTATACTTCCCCCAACACCCCTTCACCACCACCCCCACCACTACACACCGCCAGGATACCCCAGCCAATCCTACCTCAGACTACCCTTTCCCTACCAAGCATACCTCTGCCCACCCTGCCTCAGTCTAACATTCCTCGACTCAATCTGACCCAATCTAACCCACCCAGCCTAGGTCTGCCCCAACCCGGCCCCTCAACTTCAGGGCATTAGACACCAAAGCCCACGAATACTGAAAACTTTACACCTATCATATTCGTGTTTTTGTCTTCTAGACAAGTATATCATACGCTTTTGTATCATTTTATATCGTTCAGTATCATCCACAATCATTAGTTTCTTGTAAGTCATTCACTTGACACTGGGTCAGGAATCCTATTCAGTGGATCGTGTTCATCCACATTACACCAGTGCCATCCTATACTAGCCACGTCGTCATCCACATCACTCAACACTACCAACGTCATCTCATATATACCAATCACATCACCCCATCTATCACCCTACACCATTCATATCACCCCACAAACTATCCACTTCATTACACACCATCTGTCACACCCGCAGCATCATTGAACATAATGCACGCTTCTCCCAGACAACCACTCACCATGCCCCTGCACGCTGGTCTAGGCACTAGCTCACTGTTAATAAATATGAAGGTAACATTCCTAATGCTAATGTATATATCCCTCGCCCGTCACTCATTGAATACACCTTCCTCATGGCCACCGCGACACTCACTTGCCGTTCTCCAGCACCCACCGACGCATCTCAAGCCCCCTTGCTGCACATACTCCCCCACACAACACCCAACCAGTAAAGATTCATCATATCCCAGTGCACATCTTCCTTGCTTCACCACAACTCGACAGTAGTTACTGCTTTTTCTCAGCACTATCACACAGCTTTCCTCCACACTACACCACAGTACCTCGCCATAGCTTTACACAGCTCCCCTGCTGCCAGGTGCCCGACACTTCATGAACTGCAGCCCACCACAAGGCCGGCGTCGCCACCTTGTCCTTGCCCAACCTACGCACTTGATATCTTCGAAAGCCCAAAATAATGAATTCCCAAAGATGACTCGCAGTACCACGAGGACGCCAGCTGTTTGACGCTGTGAAGTGGCAACCACAGACTAGTATAGCAAGATGATGACATCTGCAGCAGATGCTGACCTGAAGTAGTAAGTAATGAAGTGTTGGCTTCTGTAGCCCCTTGACACTTAGTCACCTAGGGGCATTGGCCGTGAAGTCACAAGTTTCTCAACATCTGCTCAAGCAATAAATTCTGAGTGAGAAAGAAGTCACAAGCTAAACGGTGCGCTACAAAAACTAATCTCTGATCTTGCTATGGTGAGAAATTTATATTAACAGAATGAGTTTTTGGTTTTATCTACTCCCTTACCCTATTTGAACCCATGGTAAAAGCTGAAAAAAATGTAAAATTTAAAATTAATGTTGGCAGATGATGTCGATCCCTCTCGTACTTCTCGTTGTGTGTGTGTATCGGTCGCGTTCAGTGCTAAGGGCTCCACATTCTCTCCACTTAGAGTGTAAAGTCTTGTAGGCAATCTGTAATTTAACCCACTAAAGAGCTTTATAATCCATTTATAATAGGCCATGTTTGAGTGTTGATCGAGCTCGAAGCTTTATATTATGTATATGTATTCTAGAGAGGTTACCTAACTTGTGTATGTATAAATCTTTTTAAACGACGATGGAGTCATGTCACCGATGTTTCGTAGCGCAGGGGGCCATGGCGAGTAGAGTGGATGGGGCTTCGAGGGGGCGCTCAGGGGGACGTGGACTATACCCTCCTCTCCCGTACTGGACACACACTGCTACGAGCTTTATACCATAAACATACACCAGCGTGTGTCCAGTCGGTCGTGTAAATAGCGAGCTATAAGTATTAATAAAAGACCACTCAAGGGATATAAATCATTGTTGGGGGAGGAGTTGTCTAAAAGTCTTAAACATGAGTCTTGATCTTCCCCGTCATTACCTCGCTCGCCATGCCGCCCTCTCCACCCACCCAATGTTGTGTATACCAGAGGAGGATACTCGAAGCGTCACGTGACCTGCCAGTGTGTCCTGTGGCCTCATCCCTTGGTGTTTCTTTCACCCACCCCACTCCCCTCCACCCTCAGCCTACATCACCACTCCTTCACTGCAGGTCACGTGACTGAGTAGGCCAGTGTTTATATGGTTTCAGAGTCGTGTCTCAATAAGAGGTAGGATAATAAAGGTTAAAAGTCATGTATGCAGTTTTTCATAATGTCCTATATGTAAATATGTCAGACGCACATGAACCAGTACACCAGCATAGACCATACAAATACTCCACACACTATACATACATACAATGTGTTATGTATGTCATTTCATATGAATCAATACACCAGAGTAAACCAAACTATACTCCATACATCACACTATGCATACAAACATACAATGTGTGTATATGTATATCAGTTCATACTGTATGACTCAAGACATCAAAGCAGACCATTCTATACTGGACGTCACACACTACATACATACATACACAATGTTTATGTATGTCGGTTCATCTGAATAAATACACCCGAGTAGACCATACTATACTCCACAGTATACAAACACACACATATATACATACATACATACATACATACATACATACATACATATACTGTACAGTATACGTGTATGTATGTCAGTTCATAAGCATTAATACACCAGAGTAGACCATACTATACATACATACATACACACACACATACATACACAATGTGTATGTATGTCAATTCATATGACTCAATACACCAGAGTTGACCACCCTATACACCATACTACACGAATACATATACATACTGTTACGCCGTCTCTTAATTTACTTAAATATCCAGGTTCTAGGCGTAACCAAACAAAAAGTGAAGTAAATTAAAAGAGAATAAAAATAAATAAAGTAAACCTTTAAGAATGTAATTGATTAAATATTAACACAATAAAGAGCCTCGTAGGCTGTCACAACAAATTGATTCACCATCGAAACTTTTAAGACACAAGTGATACAAAACATCGAAACATCAAAAGAATAAAAATAAAGCATTGGATTACGTTAACACTGCATAAACATGTAAAAACTATCACTGAAATTAACTAACGTGAAACAACACTGAATTACTTGAATACAACTAAGCAAATACTGATGGACACAAACAGAGACATAAATAGGTACTCACATAGATATACCACATTGGTGGCGACAGGAACAACACAAATAAATTAAGTTTAAGTAACAAGTGACACTCAAAGGATGTGTACTGTATGACAAGAGGACTGAACTAACTCAAGTCAGTTGGTGGGTCCTATATATAAGGTCGGCTCCCGCCACGCGACCCGCCGGTGGGTCGTTTAACGATGCAGATGGTCGTTAGAGAACAAAGAATGCTGGTTACAATACAAAATGAAGAAATAAGATGGGCTTGAACAAATAATGACAGTTAAAACCTTAACAGCACAGGGTAAGGTGACTAGAATATATAATAGTAAATTTAACACATCATTACAGGAATAATATGGAACATGGGAGCATGTTATATATAAAAAAAAATAGAAAAAATACGACACGGTCGTAACAATACATACATACATACAATGTGTATGTTAGTTTGTTTAAATCAATACACCAGAGTAGACTATATTAAACTCCACACAACAGCACAATATACTTTTCATGCCACACTACACACACACACACACTGTAGGCATCTGTCAATTCATATGAACAACACACCCGGGATTGATGAGCCACTCGTTTCTCTACAAGAGCACAGGTAGAAGACATCTTACCTGCACACATCTACAGCACAACAGAAAATAACTACTGTATAATACTGAACTTACCTTGTACAGTACTAGAGGAGAATCAATAATCACTATAAACTAACTGATGAACACCAAGAAGGTTTAGAACAGGGTAAAAAAAATATGTATATGTTGCATTTCCAACGATTTTATTTCGTGACCAAATTTAAATATACTGTACTCGTAATAAAAAATCCCACTGCTTTTAAAATGGAATATTTACAGAGACCAATACAGTACTTATTAACTAAGTTGAGCATCTTTGAATTCAACATTTTCAGCTGCCCTTAAAATTACTGTTTTGACATAAAATCTCCTCTCAACTAAGACTGGGAAAATCATAAATCCTGTACGATAATTACACTAACTAAAATACTCGTAAATTCAATAATGCTGCTGACTACAGGTATTAACTAAAAGTGAACTTACCAGAACGAAACGCCTGACAGGTAACGACTTATTAGCTATCCTGAGTAACAATGCCAAGAGGAAACTAACCAATGGCAGTGAATTGACAGCACCCTGTATAATCATTACTCTTGGAGTATCCACCACGGATGTCACTCATTGGTCCTGCCACCACAGTAAGTCACTCATTGGTCCTTCCACCACAACGCATCCTTGTTAAGTCCACCACTAGTTTTGAGGTCCATCGTTGGGAAAGTCTACCACCAACATTCGATGGTCTACCACTTGAGGGTACACTGACCATTTGTTCCAGCGTGTAGCTACATCATCAACCAAAAGATAGATTATCCCCTCCTGACGACAAGTGTTTTAGTTTAGTTATACAAGGATGTGGCCAGTGGGAGGATAAAGTTAGTTGGTGCCTTCTGCTGCGACTGCATCATCACCACCCACTGAAGGAGAAGGATTACATGCATCATACAAGTCTTTACCAGATCCAACTCATGTGCCACTGTAGACCATCTAAAACTTGTAAATTTTCTTTCAAAATTTCAAATTCTTCTGCTGTAACCTAATGATTTTCTGATATCTTCAAGTTCATCCTTTATCACCATGTTCTGTGATCATCTGTTTTCTTATTGTCTCAATCTTGTACATCACTTGACGTGGGACAACACTGTGGGCTCACCACAAGTTGACAGAGGGATGAGGGAGTGCTGCAGTTGAAGTCATTGTAGGTCAGATGAGAATTGGGGGTCATCACAGATAGACAAGAGGGCGGTAGGGTAACTAAGCAAAATGAAGAGGTAGAGTAGAGAAGCCGGAGGCGAGTTGGGGTCATCAGAAGTATACGCGGCGGAGATCACTGGACGACGTGATAGCGCTACACTGCGGACACAACTTTTTGGCTGACTGTAGGAGAAAGAGGAAGTCCTGACTGAGTACAGTACACTGGACATGCAAGAAATGGCAAAATTATCCAGTATTGTCTTAGTCGAGTATACCAAACATAACAGTAGTTGTACTGCTGTAGTCTGAAGTTTAGTTTACTGTATTGAACACTGTAACTGGCAAAACATAGCAGATTTGTCTTACTTGAATGTACAGTACTGAGCATAAAATAAATGGCAATATATACTGCTATTAGAAACAAGAAAACCGATTAGAAAATTATTAAATAATACTATACATAATACTAAGTGGTTCAAGTAAGCATAATGTTAATCGTAAAAAACTATCAAGCTAAAGGTAATTACAATAATTATATAAGTATTGTATATGAACATGAGCATTAGCTCTGTGGAATAAATTAAATGTAGAGTAAGAACTAATAAGAGTATATCAAGATGTATTTGCCAAGAATTAAACTACCAAAGGGGTAAATGGCAAGAATAAAAACTACCAAATGGGTAAATGACATGAAAAAGGATACCAAAGGAGTAAAAGGCACCAAAGGGAACAAATATACAAACAACGGTAGGTAACTCACCAAGGCACAGAGCCAGCACCTCTCACAATGCACGTGCCAGCACAACACAGACACCAGCGGTTTCATGTAGTCACTCTGTCATTGGCAAGTCACCAGGATGGGGCAACAGTTCACAGTTCACCAAGACGAGTCAACAGTTCACCAAGATGGGGTAGCAGTCGACATCACCAGCAATGCAAAGACATTCATCATATGAAAAGGGAATTACATAGATCAGTAGAAAATCAAGTTTCTGAATAACATTAATATCATCATCAATAAATAGCAAAATCATCTGTCAACGTCATGAATTACTCTTATAGAGGTCACAAAAGGTCACTAATTACAAGTGGTCCCGAGTTATGAATACCCACACTTACAAAGGGGATCCCAATACATTCAACGTAAATTTTTTTAATTAAAAATCCATTTTTTATATTACTTTCATTATTCTATATTGTTTAATATCACCTGATTTACATTATTTGTTATGTATGGGATATTACTTTTGTTTTTATGGTCATGTATTAGCCCCTGTCAAACAGCCAGTAATACTTGTATAGATGTGGGTTACATACATTAGGTTATGTAATTATATCACCCACGATAACTAGCCTATGAGCCGTGAGTAATCGTCAACTGAACACACGACGGTGTCTTTCACCGAGAGCCTTCAGCTTGACTGCTGGATCAGTAATAACTATCCGGCTTCTCACCAGTCTGACCCCAGTCTTTCAACCACGCAGGCAGTAAGGAGCCCTTTTGCGCAGGTACCCATTCTCTCAAGTTTCCAGTTTTATTCAACTGCTAGTTGCAGCCTAGTTTAGTCTAGATGTGTTAAAATTTGGCCCTGTCACCTCCTAGGTTCCCACCTAGGGTGATATTTTATGAGTTCTAATAGCAAGTGCACTAGCAAGCTCATCTCACTAAAACGGTCATACATATGGTCTCTAATTAGTCATGTGAGAGAACCTTCACCCCTTCCCCTACTGTCATGAGAGAACCTTCACCCCTTCCCCTACTCTCATGAGAGAACCTTCACTCCTTCCTCTACTGTCATGAGAGAACCTTTACCCCTTCCCCTACTGTCATGAGCGAACCTTTACCCCCTCCCCTACTGTCAAGAAAGAACCTTCACCCCTTCCCCTACTGTCATGAGTAACACCTCCCCCTTGCTCACTTAAAAAGAGACATCTCATCACCACCTGCCCACAGTAACAAACTAGAAGTACAGTGCAATTGCATTTTGAATTAAGACCTTAAGAATAACAAGCTAAAACTTTCAAGGTATGTTCAGATCTCCCTATTTAATATACTGGAAGTCCCAAAACATCCAGGTGCAGGGTTTCTCATAATCATGAAAAAATCAATCAATCAAAGATGGTGGCCAATTGCACTGTACTAGCTTGAGTGTAGAGGCAACACAGGTAAGGATAACTCACATGACAGACGCGGCAGGAGTAGCGTCCCCGGGGTGAGGTTTCATCCTGCTCCAGTTCCTGTAGTCTGGCCCTCAGCGCCTCCACCACGGCTGGGGTGTTGCTTATACTAGAGGCACTTGGTCCATCGGTCTGTGCTGTATATACATTATCAAGCTATGTAACGTCTTCCAAGATATATGAAAGCAGAATTACTCGATTACTGTACTATTTGTGAAGGTCTAGTCACGCAAACACCATTGGTAGCCAAGGTTCAGAAGAAAGGGTTCATCTAAAATGATGTAATAACAAACAAATAAGAATAAGGTACATATTATGATTTATCTTTACCTACACGTGTGTATTATTTTAAATATAATAAATACAAATAAGAACAATATAAATTACTACTAATTACAGATGCTCTTTAAAAGAAAACCTAAAGCTCTTGGGGCTTTTTTTTCAGAGAGATGCTGGGGTCCGTACTGAAGCTCACCCAATTGAGTAGCCAGGCTAAGACAATATATTCAGTGGTAGGGATTGGAATTGTGTGTTTGTTTGTATGTGCTCCTGTGTGTGTGTTTTCCAGTCTAAGTGAAAACGATTAGAGGGGTCCAGTGTGGGTGGGTGTGTGTTTTCTTTCAGCATGTTTATCCGTGCATGCCATTGTTTATGTCTGAGTGTTTGCATGTGTAAACACTTGTCCGTATCCATGTGTGTGTGCGTCCAACGGAGCCACAAGCACCATTACAACACCACCACCACCAATGTTTGTTTACTTACGTGGATTGATGGAGTCCGCTGACCAGAGGCTGGGGGTGTGGGTACTGCCTGATGACCCCCTCGACGTGCTGACGCTGCTGGTGTTGGAGCTGACGACAAAGGTAAACATTACCGTAACACCTCCCTCCTACAGCACTGGTACAGGTACTTTCACACCTGTCCCTTCCTTAATTATATACTGACAGACAGGTGACAAAATGTTTACCACCATTACTTCTGTCCTATACAGCTGTCCCGCTCACCTCTACCTACCTACTTAATTACCAACTTACAGGTGACAATAAACACCCAAAAAGAGGATAATACCTTATAATAATATTAATCTAAAAACCAATAAACTCCACTAGCACCACTCCTGACTCCTCTAGGGCGGGTACAGTACTTTCTCACTCAATAACCGATATACACATAACAAAATCTATGATACCTGGCCAATTATCCCTAAATCAATACATAGGACCCCTTCACTACTAATTAAGAGGGCACAGGTACTCTCCCGCCCGCCAGTACTTAATTACTGACACACAGGTACCATTTTAAATAATTCAATGAATATCTAATCTTTCTGTGACATAATTCATTAAATTTTCAACTGCAAGAATAAGTAACATAATTCACTAATACACAACAGTGCCTTAATTTAAGCCAATAAGGCAACTAACTCACTCACCTAAGGTTGAAGTCAATGGTAGTTCTCTCGGAGTTGTTACAGAGGGTGGTGGTCGTGTGGTTACTGACGGAGGAAGGGGAAGGCTCTTCGTCCATGTCCGAGTCCGGGTTGTAGGGGGGCAGGTCGGCGTCTGTGTACTGTGGAGGTCCGTAGACGCTGGTGGAATCGTCGTCTACCACATCCACCACCTCATCCTCACACCCCTGTTGTACTTTCGTGCCCAAGGCTGATGGGTAAGGGTTAGATTAGGTTTACGGGAAGGCTTGGGGGTGGTATTGACAATTTACACACCCAAGAAAGACAACTATCCTGTACAGTAACTCACAAACCATCATCTTCAACGCACCAGAAAGTATCATTACGATTTTATGCGATTCAGTATGACACAACAGACGAAGGATTTTGATAACCCTGCCGAGACAAACAGGAGTATTGGTGTTCATTTGGAAATTCATCGCATCCTTCTGTGAAGATACTTCTTTGGAGCGAGTGTACACAGCAGGAGGTAAGACTACTCACCGTGCAGCTGTCCCTCTGCTCGAAGCATCTGGGTAGCCCTCACTCTAGTCTGGCCACACCACTCATACTCCTCATACTGGCTGCCACCCTCATTCTCACCCTCCACATCCACCTCCTCGTCCTCAGCCTGTTAATGAAAGAGTGTGTTGAGTGTGGTGGGGCAGGAGTGTGGTGTACTGTTACTCTACATTACACATTGTTTGGGTTATATGCCAGTGTAAATAACGTCACACAACCTGTTCCTTTGAGATTGTATTTTGTTTCGTTCCGTTAGGTTAGGTTAAGTTAGGAGGAGGAAGATGAAGTAAAATAGGAATAGGAGGAAGAAGAAAGTCGGAGGAAGAGGAATAGGAGGAAGAAGAAAGTCGGAGGAAGAGGAATAGGAGAAGGAAGAGTATAGAAGAGAAGCAGAAGGAAGATGATGATGAGGAATAGATGAAAGGAAAAAGAACTTACCTGATTGAGACACTTGCTGATGTGGGTGTTGATGTCATCGGCAAGGACCTTCTTATCACACACGGGGCAGGTCCTACGTTGTACTACGTCGTCATCATCGTCGTCATCGTAGTATTCATCGTCCTGCTGGTGGTCGTTTGAGTCACCTGCCGTGTTGTTGCGTCGCCTCTTCACCCTCGTCCTCACCTGCCTGTTGCTCTTCACTCGTTGGTACATCTGCAGGAGGAAGAGGTTGAAAGGTCGGGAGGTTAGGAGGTCGGGAGGTTAGGAGGTCAGGTGGTTATTAGTTTGCGTCTGGAGCCTAGAGTCCAATATAACAACCCAACTTAACCCCATCTAAATGCAGCCTAACAATATAACCCGACCTATTTGAATCTACCCTAACTTGACTTGACATGACCTAATCTAACAAACTTGATCCAGTCTAAAATCCTAACCTACCTAACCATACACTTAAAACACATTACAACACAATTTAACAGCTACACCCACACGTGCCTGCCTAAACACCCTAAACTACACATAAACAAAAGCTCACATACACAACACTTGTATCTACATCACCAGCCACTACCCTCACCACCTCTTACAGTCACCGCCAACCTTACACCTCTCAAACCAGACTGCTTGACTGGTGTATGAAGGACTTGTATTAGGTGAATCACTATGTAGTACTGTGTGTGTGTGCGTGTGTGTGCGTATGTGTGTGTGTGTGTGTGTGTGTCAATTATAATAATGTCGTAGTATTATACACGTTTAAACACATACTCACTAATACCAACTGCTACAATATAATCAGACTAATTCTTCACAAGCCACCCGCTGTACCGTAAAGACCATGTACCGTAAACAAGACCATGTACCGTAAACAAGACCATGTACCGTAAACAAGACCATGTACCGTAAACAAGACCATGTACCGTAAACAAGACCATGTACCGTGCTGCTTCAGAGTACACTACGGGATACTGTAGTAGGTAAATGGTAAACAAAAGGGTGATCACAATTAGACTTTTTTTAACATTAGACAAAGTTGGCAGTACAGGGAGGATGGCTCAGGGGAGGGGGTTAAAATGTCACCCACCTCGCCCCAACAGCGTCCAGATTATTAACTTGGTTCAAATTATCCTACTGACAACTCACGGATACAGAGACAGCATGAATTCCTTACTCCCCCCTCCCCCCCCTAGGACGAGCAGGGGGGAGGGGAGGGGAGGGGGGAGGTGAGAGAGGAAAAACTCGACCCACATGAGTGACCACACAAGCAAGTCCTAAAACGTAACACAAATTTCTCCCCCTAAAAATATATCATATCATCATCCTCGTGTTGTTATCAAGTTGGGGGGAAGATAATGAAATGCAAACTGATCATCTTGTACTGTGAGTCATTAAGGAATTATGAACTTTATGCTGGCTGCTCTTCAGTACTTGACTCTTTAATATCCACAAGCAAGATACAAACTTGTTGCTGCCGCTGGACTGGGAGGGAGGAGGGGGGGAGAAGTGTGTCAAGCCTCACCAGTTATCTAGAGCTGAGAGCTTTTGTCTGTATGAGTTGTGTTCCAGTGTTTTGGGGAGGAAACTGGACGACTTATTAATAGTTTCAACAACAAAAACCTACCGAGAAGTTGTTGAAAGACTGGTCATGTAAGGAGATAACGAAGATGAGAGAGGAGGCGAGGAAGATAAACGAGAAGGCAAGAAGAGGAGGAGGAGGAGAAAGAATAGAAGACACGGATTATACCTTCGAGCTGTCAGCCTCAGTGGTCGACCGTGAACCTAGCAGCAGAACAGCGTCGAATACAATTTGGTTTATTAATGATGTAAAAACTTCGTTCACATAAGATAACGTCCAAGTGCAGCAGGTCCGTCAACACCACCAGTCCGACCTACCAGTGGCTGCTGTTCTCGATACATTTATTAAACCAGAAGAACCAGATATTGCTCGCCAGGAATTCGGATTTTAATCTAATTGACGTAAAATTAGTCTATGATCGACCTACATCAGCCGCCGACTCCTTCAACAGGGTGAAGTTCAACCAGTTCCACTCCCTTATTAACAGTCACACACACACACACACACACACACTGGTAGACGGGTCGTGGGTCAAGAAGCACCAGCACCTTCCTGACGCTGTGTTGAGTCATGCACCATAAATACCTGCCAGACACACCTTCATCCCCAAGACCTTCCTGGCGCTGCACTGATGCTGTCCACACAAACTAGACACCCACACACGAGACCCCGTAGCTCAAGACACACCTGGAACACCTGTGATGTCCACTACCACTACTAGAGACCACCAGGCGACTGTGGGCGAGGCCAAGGGGGGTGTTGGTACTCGCAATATAGAAGGCAGGACTTAAGAGTACTCACGCCCCCGTGGGAAGTAGCATGCACATACACACACACACACACACACACACACACACACACTCACTCACGCCATCCCCCTCCCCCCCCGAGGAGGAAGGACACACACTCACACACGTTCCCCGGGGCACCTGCATATCGCTGGCGCCACTTACCGTAATGAAACCCCCTACCAAGATGGACGACTCCCTCCCCCATCGACCCACTATTTTCTCTACCCACCAGATTTATGCCGCTAGAAACTACCAATTTTAACATTTTACCGACAATTTAACACAACTGTAAAGGTTATTAGTACATCAGCCACACCTGCAACACAACACAGCATTCCTTAACTTAATCAAGCACCTCTATTACTGAGAGGACGTCTCGAAGCGCCTGACTGTTCCCTGGATCCTACACGTGGTTATCTAGTCTCAATAAATCACACCTGGGAAATACCTGAAGGTCTGGTCCACCATACAGTATACACACCAATAGTCATTAACTGCAGATAGGTGTACAGTCTGTGAAGCTGAGAGGTGCCATAAGTATGCGGTGCCATAAGTACACTCAGAGAAGTGCCACTAACACCTGACGCCCTTTGCTTTTATAATGGCGCCATATATAAAGTGGAAGGAAGGAAGGGAGGAAGGATTCAACGAAGGATACACCAAGAAGCAGAACTCCCACAGGACCTAACACTCACCTCCCATTGCTTGCTGGATGTTCGTCCTGAACGTGTCCTGACAGTCCTGGGCGTGGCACCGTTGCCCTCTGACGACGTGGAGGGACTGGGCGTGGGCGGGCGCTGGGAGGGTCGGCGGGACTGGGGGAGGCGCACTAGCTTATCAACCTCTTGGGTGAAGTGAGTCTCCAGCTCCCCGGGGCGAAGTGTTAGGCCACACACGGGGCACCAAGACTCTCCGAGGCGGGGCTTGCGTCCTGGGGAGAGAATACGGGGTTATGATGGGCACCAAGACTCCCCGGGGCAGAGTTTGCGTCCTGATGGATAAAAACAAAGATCATAAATTTTCATCCCATGATGGACATTACCTTTACAACCAATCAGAGGCCAAGGAATACATAACACATCACCGACCTGTGACCAATCAGAACTCGAGGAGACTACTAGGACGAGCCTGCAATTTCAACATGACAATCAGACAACCAGTTAACAGAATATAAAGAACAGAAAACCTCTCTTACAATCTGTAGTGACTCACCCTTACCACCACTACATATAAAGTGACAACATTAACACCTCACTTACAACACGCACTGACTCGACTCTCGTCTTACTTCAAACACCTACTTCAAAGGATCAACACTTCAGTACCTGACAACGTTAACGCCACCACTTTACAACCTGTAGTGACTCACATACACACACACTGGCTACACACCACCACCGCCGGCTGGGTGTAGAGGGTGTAAAGTGAGAACGTTTCGGGGTGTGGGTGTTTGGGATAGCCTTGCCCTCGGGTCTTCATTAATCAACGTGGATTATAGTTAACGCTCTCAGGAGGTGCTCGTGGCCCCCGCCTCTCCTATACACCCACGGGACCTCTGCTTCAGGGAGGTGATGCCAGGGAGACAACATCCACTGTGCTGGGGACAAGACTCATTGTGCTAGGAATAGATTCGGTACTTGGGACATAGCTGATAACACAAGAATAAAACAGACATATTGGTACTTAGACACGCCTATAACAGCGCTAAGGCAGATATATTGGTGCTACAACTTCTCCAACAGCGCTAGGTAAAGTCAGATATACTTCTACTAGGACAAAGCTAGCTAACACCACTAGGATATCCCAGATGCTGTCAAGACCAGACCAAGATATAAACACGGGCTTATAAACACCTGGAAACGTCACTGTACACCTTTAACCAACCCGGTGTTAAGAGCCGACACTATCACTGCCACCACTATACAGTCCTTTACAAATGTCACACTAATACTGTCCAGCTGATGGTGTATAAATGCACTAACAGTCAACACAAACGTAACACTACACATTACAGCTTCATGCAGGCAATTCGCAGAGCTTCACGTGTACCACAACAAGCAGGAACATCTCAAGCAAGCAGATACAACCCAAGCATACAGGCACAAAGGCAAAGTTCCTGTGCTGTGTTCATGCATGCAAGAGTATAGAGGTGGAAGTTACTCATCCATACAAGCACATCATCTGCATGTTTGTGGGCGGAACTACCAGCAGTTATTCATACAAGCAACATCATCTTGAAAATACATAATAAAAGTTATCCATACGCGTTTATGTATCAATGTGTATACAACTTCCACATATACACAAAATACACATTGGGATGGGTGTTATGATGGCAAGCACAGTATTAGCAACGGCACTGAGGTTAAATTGGTAAGGTTGGTACGGTTAAGTTGGTAAGGTTAAATTGGTACGGTTAAATTGGTAAGAGTAAATTGGTACGGTTAAATTGGTACGGTTAAATTGGTACGGTTAAATTGTAAGAGTAAATTGGTACGGTTAAATTGGTACGGTTAAATTGGTACGGTTAAATTGGAAAGGTTAAACTGGAAAGGTTAAATTGGTAAGGTTAAATTGGTAAGGTTAAATTAGCAAGGTTAAACTGGTAAGGTTAAATTGGTAAGGTTAAATTAGCAAGGTTAAACTGGTAAGGTTATGTTTAGTCAATGTTTCCCGTTACAAATTTATTAGGTCTACCTCATGGACTCCTGGGAAGCGACTATGTAATACAAGACGAATTACAGTGTTCTAGTACAGCGACGCGATACAGAAGTTCTTTTAACACACACTGACTTCCCATAAAAATACTCAGTACATGATTATTTTGGCTCCAATTTCTTCACGTACAGCAAGACGCACAGATCTGATAACAAAACACCCACTATTACCTCGTTACAGCGATACTTACAGCACACAAACGTTAGTGGCGGGTTGAGTGGGAGTTTTTCACTGATTTCCACGGCGGGGTTTAAAATATATCGCTACTCAAAACACTAATTAAAATCGTATACTTACAGCAGTTGGAAGTAGTCTCACGTACACCTTCTCAATAGACAGCAGTTGAATAGGGATGGAGGGCAATTGATGGAGATTCTTGCTATTTAAACAACAATAATAATCACTCTTGCAATCAAACGTCTCGGCGCCTCCCAGGGTGACCGGCTACTGGACAGTGACAACAGTGGTCGGGGCCTCATACCACTAACTAGGTCGTTGGATAACTTTGAACAATCGTTATCCTCAATTGACACATCCTATTGGCTTAGTATCACTCGGGGGGGGTTGTAAACGAACGAATGTCAAATACAAACTTTGATTACAGAAAAGAAGTACAGTCTAACACTTAATATTACTGTAGTATTAATGGAACCTGCCGTTTAACTCCGACTATTGACCACACACACTCAGAAAACAACAATATCTCGTTCCTTAGAGACGGGAAAAGATATTGACACAACTTCACAACACACAATGATCAACACACTACCTTGTTCTCTCTCCTCCTCCTTCACGGCAGGTGTGGGATGAGTAGGCGCCTCCCTCATGACGGAAGATATGCCCCCTTGACTCGTGCCGCCTCCACCTGCGTCACACCACCCCACGGCGGCTGTATCTCCCATATTTTTCTCTTCTCCCGCTACGTCAGGCGACTCATTGGTTGTATATTCGTCAGGAAGGCCCCCGGGTTCCACAGCTTGTGAGAACGGCTCCATGTTAACTGGATACTTGCAATTTTCATTCTCGGCTTCTAACATCTGGAACAACGATTCTATGACGCCGTGAACTGTTTTGTGAGTGTTTTCCTTCTTCTCCGGGGCGTCACAAGACTCCATAGCGACCTGATCACCTTCACTGGACATCTCAACATCTGTGGATGAACCAAACGGCACCACGACGTCCTGATGTTTTCCCTCTATGGTCTTGTTCAGTACACCCTCATGAGACGACTGTGTGGTGACCGACTCATTATTCGTGTTGTCGTCGTCTGCTACAGGTTGGCCCGACGACTCCATAACGTCTATGTCTTTCTTGTGATTATTTTCTCCATCAGCAGCTACGGTTTTGTTTTGCATGTTGACGTCTTCCCCAGACAAGATAGATAACTCCATAACATCTGAACCCTTCTCACTCGCTGCGTCAGTACCGTCAAGAGGTCTGACTAAGGACTCCATGATGCCAGTACGTGTTTGTGTATGCCACGAGTGACTTCTTATGACGACTTCAGCAACGCGAGGGTGAGGTGGACGACCAGCAAGGAGGCCGGCCTGGTGGTAGTGGCGATCTCTGCCTGACTGGAGGGGGTCACCTGGATGTGGGATTCGAACTGTCTCACCTCAGTGGTTCATTTACAGTAGTTTGGAAGAGCTCGGATCGTACAACAGTCTCGGATCCCTGCAGCAACGATACCAAAAAAGTCAGAATAAATTGTCTAATGAAACTACAGACGTAAACAAAGAGGCGTCAACAGTGGTAAATGAAACACGTTACTAACATCTATACGTGTTGGTGCTGGAGAGTCATTACTGGAGGCCCTCTCAGTCTACTTGTGGGGGTAGGGGGCAAGGCTGAGGGTTCATCTAGGGTGTTTAATGCCCTCGTACCGGCCCCGGGTCTGTGGTAGTGTGGAGTTTTACAGATGGTTATGGTGGTTCCAGTAGGTCGTCGCCTCGATACTGTCTCACTTTTGGTGTTAGAGCGATCAAGTATTCCGGTCCTTGAAGGTTCGTATCTCAAGATCCTTCTCGTCTCCCCACAACAACAAAAAATCGAATCCCTTCAGCTATGGCATAAACACGAAGCTTAAAATAGCGTCAGTAATTACACTAAGACTAACATAACTAACTACAAGTATCCTATTCAAATACTAACCTAAACCAATATTAAAACCCAGACCTTGTGTTTTGGTTTGATGATGTTCGAACCCCAAGACCCGAGACACTAACACAGACTGAGTAAGCAAGACTGATTTATTTATTAAGTCATACATTTATTTATCTACTGACGTGGGTAGTGCAGTAGTGACCTCACCGCCCAGCTGACCCGGCCACCAGGGAGCGTGACACTGGTAGCTCATAAACACTTAAGAGTTGTTACTAAGATGAGGCGAGAGGAGTCGAGTATGTGTGAGGCTGTACCCAGGATGATATGAGACGGGGGTGGTGGTGAAGGTTGTGGTGCTGGTAGTGATGATGGTGATAATGGTGATGGTAGGAGTGGTAATGATGGTGGTGATGATGATAGTGATGGCAGGTGTGGTGATGGTGTGTGTTCGTCATAACCCCGGCCATCCTACGCCTTTATAATGATGTATATAATGATATTTTTCACTCATTATTATAAAGTGTCTTGTAAAGTGGACACCCGGGAGGAGGGGGGGGGTGGTGGAGGAGGAGGGGGGGTGGTGGGGAGGAGAGGGTGATGGTGAGGGAGGAGGTGATGGTGAGTGGGAGGAGAGAGATGGTGAGAGGGGAGGAGGTGATGGTGAGTGGGGAGGAGAGGATGAGTGAGGGGAGGAGAGGGTGATGGTGTGGGGAGGGTGGTAGGGTAGGGTAGGGTGTTGGGGTAATGGTGTGGGGAGGGGAGGGGGGAGGGGGGTGATGGTGTTTGGGAGATGAGGGTGAGGGTGCCACTTGGGGGTGCTGGGTGGTAGTGCCTCATTAATCATTCAGGCTTTATTTGTTCACGCCGGCACGTCCAACTGACCTCACGCCCACGCAAAGCCGTGGGGGGAATAGTGCCAGAAGGCACAGTGCCAGGAAGTTCTCAGTGGGAGTCGATACCATGGGATAGAGTGTCATGGGGAGTGCAAAGGGATGGGGCAGTGCCTATGGGTACAGTGCCAAGGAGAATTTGTACCAGAGGAGAAAGAAAATAGGTGACGTGAGGCCTAGTGTGTGTGTGTGTGTGTGTGTGTGTGTGTGTGTGTGTGTGTGTGTGTGTGTGTGTGTGTGTGTGTGTGTGTGTGTGTGTGTGTGTGTGTGTGTATGTGTGTATGTGAAACAAGGAAGAGAAGTAATATAAAGATCAGAAGAGTGGGAAGGAGAATAAGGAGAAACAAGGGAGGAGGATGAGGATGAGGAGAAGGAGGAGGTGAGTAGAGGAATGTGAGGCAGGCTACAGAAGGCAGGATTACCCTCATGACCCCCCAGACCTTCACCTTCACCCACCCCCCCTGACCTGTCACCATGACAACGCTACCAAAACATCCGGTCTAAACTCTTAACCTTTTAACATAGAAAATGGATGACGTTTTTACTCACCAATAAAAAATAAAAACAAAAAATAAAACAAAAACAAATAAACTTGTATTTTCACGAAGAGACAATAAAAAAAATAAAAACAATGAAATATATGAAAAAGGAGAGAGAGAGAGAGAGAGTAGGGCAATTACAGCTGGATATTTGCTTAAGTTTTTATTTGCAAGAGCTTACAGAGGAGGAGGTGTGCCTGGGGGTGCCTAGGGGAGGAGGGGGCCTGGGGGTGGGGGAGAAGTGTCTGGAGGAGGGAGGGGGTGGATATAGGGAGGGGGAGTGAAAGAGACTAGAGAGAACTGAGAGAAGAGAGAGAGAGAGAGAGAGAGAGAGAGAGAGAGAGAGAGAGAGAGAGAGAGAGAGAGAGAGAGAGAGAGAGAGAGAACACACACACACACACGTGTAACGACCAACCTAACAACAGATTATTTACAAACTTCAGAGGAAAAAACTGTAGCCAGAAGGTCTATACCAAGCGTCAGGGAGAGTCTAGTGAAGGGGAAGGGGAGGAGGGGTTGAGGTGTGCAGGGTGTGGGTAGAGAGGGAGGGTGTGGGCAGGGTGTGGGTAGAGAGGGAGGGTGTGGGCAGGGTGTGGGTAGAGATGGGGAGGGGTGGTGGTGTGGAAGATAGAGGAGGAGAGGAAGAGAAGGAAGAGTAAGGAGGACGAGGGAAAGGTTGGTGTCTCTCTCTCTCTCTCTCTCTCTCTCTCTCTCTCAACCACCTGCTTCATAACCAACAACTAATGTCCTAAGTCCATCATTCAGATCTACTGTACTACCTCAACACACACCTGACCTAATTAACTCACACCTGTATTAATTAACTCACACCTAATTCTCTTAACTTAACACCTACAACATTGATTCACCTGTAAGTCCATTTTTTTTCTTTAAGCAACAATATTAAAAAAAAAATAAGTCACACACACACACACACACACACACACACACACACACACACACACACACACACACACACACACACACACACACACACACTTCATACGGGCCATATCAATCAATTATCCGCATCATCATTAACAATAACGATAAATTAAACCTTATTATACAGGTAAGGCAAAGGAGGGAAGCCATCAATACCGGGCACAGGTTGACTCAGGTGAGGAGGGGAGGGGGGGTAATACTCTAATATATCAACACAAGTGACAAAAGTGGCCGCCAGCCCTCACTTAATGCCGTCAATGAGCAGGAGAATGAGCTCAGGTAAACACGGGAACGGGGACAGATGCTGATGGTCAATATGGCAGTGTGTTGGGGTGTGTGTGTGTGTGTGTGAGGAGGAGTGTACATGAAGGTGTTGGGGTGATGTAGGTGTGTGAGTGTATGAGGAGGAGGAGGAGGGGTGTACTTGATGTATGTAAGTGTGGGTTGACCGTGAAGGATAGACGCAGATAAGGAAGATGATTTAAGTTATTATTATTATTATGATTTCTAATACTGCTATCAAGGGTCTTCTCTCTCTCTCTCTCTCTCTCTCTCTCTCTCTCTCTCTCTCTCTCTCTCTCTCTCTCTATCTATCTAATATACACACGTTGAATGGAGAGAGAGAGAGAGTACAGGTAGGTCACTCAGCAGGAAATACCTTGGTCACAGTGGCCAGGTACTGAGTGCAGGAATCCGTGAACACCTGTGACCCAACACCCTCACTCCCACCCACACACCCCTCCTACACCCCACACACACACCACCACTACACCAACACACAAGGATTTATAACAGGTGTACCGTAATAACACCAGAACGTCCGTCATTCACAACACCTCTTTCGTCAGGTCAGCAAGGGCGGGTACTCATGGCATTGCCCAATAATTGAGGGGGATAATTTATTCTGGGTTTTGTGAACATGTAAATATATTTTCAGAAATAAAAGACAGTAAATGAAGCTTTTTTTTTTACACTGTTAATAGTAATCCTGGTTGATGTGTGTGTGTGTGTGTGTGTGTGTGTGTGTGTGTGTGTGTGTGTGTGTGTGTGTGTGTATGTGTGTGTGTGATGTGTGTGTGTGTGTGTGTGTTGTAGCAAAAACATAAAACTCAGAGAATATTATTTAATCATTAACAAACAAACAAGAAAACAACTTCAAACACATCCCAATTTCACAAATAGGTCCGGTAGACGTCAACAATTACCACCACACCTTAACGATCAATCACGTAATTGGTAATAAAATAGGGAACATTTTATCGGGGGGCCTTGCCAATTACATAACTACGACCAATTTTGTAATATATCGGGACTATAATATCAAATTGGGACATATTGTAATAGCTCTGCCAATTAAACATTCCCGAGAAAGAAATGTGAAATTGGGATACATGTGTGCCTTTAAAATTGCCAATTACATAATCACAACTGATATACAATCCTAGTAACTTAACAACCCATTACAAACTACTTATAAATAGGGTTTAAGTTATATAGGTACAGGAAACGACTCAATTACATTTAAAATATCCCAATTAAGTAAACAAAAACAACAACAAATAAATACCTAAGACAAACAAACAAACAAAAACAAACAAAATCCTAAAACAGGTAATCCCACTAATCCCCAGAGAGAGATTACCTTTAGTGTGGATTACAGGTGATTACTTGTACCCCCAGGTGAAGCCCTGATATGGCAACCCCTTAAGTAATCCCCCAGGTGTAGGAAGCCTCACCTGAGAGACGTCAATTAAGGTTCGGAATTCTTATAGAGGACTCATAGGTAAACACGCCCTTAAGTTGAGTGTGGACTTAAGCCCTTGTTGTCTTAGGTCATTGATTGTCATTACTATAAGGTCTTCAGGTTGTCTTTATTAATAACGAAAGGGGCTTGTTAGTCTTCAAGCTCAAATTGGGTAGTTAAGGTCGTTAGTGATAGATTAATTTAATACAGTATGCTTGTTTAGGTGTACTGCA